TCCTCCTGCTGAGAACCGCCCTCGGGGGCATGCCCGCGATCGGGCGGCTGCCGCCCGTCCGGCTCGGCCGGGGGCTGGCTCGTCTGGCGCGCGTCCGCCGCCTGATGGCGCTGGTTGGGGCTGGTCCCGGGGGGGGGGCGGAGGGAGGGAGGGAGGGGGCACAAATCTGACGATGAGTTTTGTTCAGCCAAGAGTTGCTCCTCGATTTCGGCTTCGGGGGGAGCGCAATCGGGCCCCAGGGTATGACACATGGATCCGGGGTTTCAAAAAACTTGCCTCGGGCAAGGGGTCGGGACCTCTGGGGCCGAGGATAGAAAAACTGCGCGGGCCCCCTCGGGTCTTCAAGGCATGTGAGATTCTCCCCTCAACTCCACCGGCAGAGAGACCCAGCATCGCAGCGCACAGATGGACCCCACAGTCAAACAGGGATTAGGTGACAGTCGTGATTTCAGCCCTTTCGCTGCAAAGTTTGACCATGGGGGGCCACATGAAACATGGGTAGTCGGAGTGGCTCCCCACTGTCAAATCGGCGATCGGAGCTTGATGCCCCCACCCCGGCCCGCCCCACCTCGGATTGCCAATATGACAATGGGCCCCAACTGTGGCCTCCGCTGTGGCCTCCGAAGGATCCAGGCGGCGCAAAAGCGCCTCAAAACGGCCCACGAGGCCCCCCAAAGGACCCAAGAGGCCCCAAGAGGCCCCCAAGAAACCCCCAATCGTAATCCAAAAACGAGGCAAAGTCTGAAAAAAACTGTCGGAGGTTGGGGGGTGAGATCGAAGTGGAACGGAGAGCCCCCCTACCGGGAAATCGATTTCGGTTTCGTGTTCGTGCGTGCCGTGCGTGCGGGCAAGGCGAAGCTGCGTGGGCGGGCGAAAGGAAAATCTCCTGAGGCGCGGCCGGACCAAATGATTCTCCACCGGGGCGCGGGGCCGCGCGGTGTCCCGCCGGTGTCCCGGTGGTGTCCTCTGTGGCTGCGGCGCGGCCGCACCAAATGATTCTCCACCGGGGCGCGGGGCCGCGCGGTGTCCCGCTGGTGTCCCGGTGGTGTCCCGTCGGTGTCCCGATGATGATGTGGATGATGATTATGATGATGATGATGATGATGATGGTGGTGATGATGATGATGGTGATGATGATGATGCTGATGATGGCGATGTTGATGATGATGATGATGATGTTGATGTTGATGTTGTTGTTGATGATGATGATGATGATGCTGATGATGATGATGATTACGTCGATTGTGAGATCGATTGTGATCGGAAGCTGGGGGGTGAGATCGAAGTGGAACGGAGACCCCCCCCACCGGGAAATCGATTTCGGTTTCGTGTTCGTGCGTGCCGTGCGTGCGGCCGAGGCCCCGTGCACCCACCAGTACAGGCTAGGCTTTGCCAGCCGCTCTCTCCGAGCGCGCCCCGTTCCTTCGGGCGGCCGCGCGGGCTCGCCGCCGCGGCTAGAAGCGAATCGAAAAACTGGGGCGTCTGGGCCCGTGGAGTTCGGCCGTCTACATAAAAAGGGATACGCCGACATGACGCCGGCGCGGGCCCCTGGGAGGGGTTCCGGTTCCGTTTTGAAATTGGCGCCGAGGTTAGGTCGAGGTTTCCTGGACCTCGGAGGCCCTGCTCGCCGCCGCGGCTGGAAGCGAATCGAAAAACTGGTGCGTCTGGGCCCCTGGAGTTGGTCCGTCAACATAAAAAGGGATACGCCGACAGGACGCCGCCGCCGTCGCTGTCGCAGCAGTTCTCATCAATTGCATGTGCACCATGTGCAACCCGACAAAGGGAGGGAGAGGAGCCTCAGCAGGCCCCCGAGAAAAAAAACTCCACTGGCATCGTCAGGAGATCAATCACCACTGTTGCCGATTGCTCGGCCCCTTCCACCCCCCCCAACCTCCTTATCACCCGCAGGGTGGTCGTATAGGTAAGCGCTATAGAAGCGATTCCCTGGCAGACCTGTAAGTGCTCTAAGAGCGCTTACAGGTCTGCCCGAGATTCCATCTCACGCACATGCAGGATCAGATGTTGGTTTAGTTAGTGCTTATTTTCGGATCGTGTCACCGTTTCTTTATATATGTGTCGATTTCGCTTGATTGGGTTTATTTTCTAATTCAGTTATACCTCGTTATCTGCCTCGTCCGCTTCTTCCATACACTGCATGGCCCCACGTTGACGTGCAATATACTAAGCTTTTTTAAGGGGGGGAAGTATCATCAATATGTGGTGCCACACTGTCTTGCCCCGTGTATGTCTCCATGGCGGCGTGCAGAATACGAGTGAAACTATGCTAGTGTTGCGCACGTGGTTGTCCGAGTGACGCGTATCACCCCAGTGCGGTGGGTCACACCGTACGGATACAATAAATTAGTTGGTTGCACGGTTTACGGGGTGACACGTGTCACCCGCGCGTGTTGTCACGCTGTGTGGCCCCTCGAATACGAGTGAAACAATTAGTTTTGCTCACACGGTTTTCGGTACACTCAATAGCACGTATAATCATCTCATTTTGGTGTCCAGAAGACAGGTGTAGCGTATTGCTCAGACGGTTTTCGGGGTGACGCGTGTCGCCCTGGAGTTTCACACTGTATGGCCCTATGTTGGCGTCCAGCATGAGAGTGAGACAATGTTTTGTGCTCGCACGGGTTTCATCGACTCAAATTATAACACCATGTTGGCGTCCAGGATACGAGTGGACCAATTCGTGTTGCCCACAGCGTTTTCGGGGTAGCATGTGTCCCCCCTGTGTGGTTTCACACTGTAGGAGGAGGCATGATGAGGCAGGAAAAGGAGGAGGCAGGAGGAGGAGCAGGAGGAGACAGGAGGAGACAGGAGGAGACAGGAGGAGGTAGGTGGAGGCAGGATGAGGAGGCAAGAGAAGGGAGAAGGAGGCAAAAGGAGGCAGGAGGAGGAGGAGGCAGGAGGAGACGAAGGCTGCCCATTCGTTACCAATGCTGCCCCCTCGTCATTCCTCCTTCTTCTCTTTCCTCATCCCGTCTTCCTGCTCGCCGCAGCAATGTTGGGCTCAAGCGAGACGGCGACGGGGGGTGCACCTGCGGCCCTCGCCGACCCTGCCGACGCCTGCGCCCAACTCTCGCTGGCGCACGCGGCACGCGCACGCAAACGCGGCCGAAGGGCTGCCTCGGCCCGACGGCCGCTGCCTCGGCCCGACGGCTGCCGACCGTGGTCGAAGGCCCCGAATCGCCTCCAATGAACGTCGGCACGGCTTGGCCCGCGACCGCCGCGAGCGCCGCAGTGGCGGCGAAGGCGGCCTCAACCCCATCAACGACAGCATCGACAACAGCGACAACACCGAGCGCCGCAATGGCGGCGCAGGCGCCCGCAGGCGACACCAGCGGAGTCCAGCACCCCCAGCCAGGCAGGTGGAACGACGCGTGGGTCCCGTGGTCGGGCACGCTGGCGGGAGACGCGGTGATGCGCTACGAATGGCCGCCGTATCAAAAAAACACACCGCGCCTGGTGCCAGCAGCAGGCGGCAGAGCGCCAGGAGGAGCTTGTTCGCGGGGCAGCCCCATCGCCGCAGGCGCCCGTCCAGGCCGCAGTGGCCGTCTACGGCAATGAGCAACAGCGCCCGCCGCTTCCAACGGCGCCACCGCCGCCAGCGGCGGTGGCGCTGGCGCCGCTCGCGCCCTTCTGACGTCGAGAACTCCTTGGTCTCCATGACGGGGCGGGGCTCTGGCAGGACCCACCCGTAGACTCCGAACCACATGCCCGTTTGGACGGGCTGCCACTCCTACTGTGGACCACGACCGAGACGATGACGAGGGGGCATGGCCGCCACTGCGACCAAGAGCCCGCGCGCGGGGGCGAGGGGGGCAATGCGCGATTTCAATGTTTAAGCCGCTAAGAATGAGCCACTGCAGCGCGCGAGACCCTCCTCCTCCTCCTTCTCCTCCTCCTCCTCCTCCTCCTCCCCCGTCCCCCCGACTGCACCTGTCTCCCGCCTGTCCATGCACCCATGAGCCCCCTCGATCCTCCCAGGCGCCCACGCACGCCTCCCCACAGACACGCGCCCTGAGCCAGGGGAGGCCTGAGGCCGCCCCCAGCGCTTGTGCCGGCCCAGGTAACGCCTGCTGCACCAGGTTCTGCAACAGTTTTTATAGCGCTTGCAGGTCCTGCATCAGGTTCTGCAGGGGACAGACGGCCCTAAGAGGGGCCAAAGTAAGCCTCAAGACGGCCACAAGAGCGCTCAAGAGCGCTCCAAGACCGCCCTAAGAGGCGCTTTCAGGCACTCTAGAAGGGCAAGGCTAATTAAAGCTCCCCTCATGTTGTATCGATGTCTCCCAAGAGGGCTCCAAGAGCGCCCCATCCATGACGCTCAAAGACGGCCCTGGGCCCGACGCCCCAAGAAGCCTCCAAAAAGTTTCCAAGCGAAATCCGAGGAGACTCCGAGAGGTATTCAAGAGCCTTCTGGCTCTTCTGTTCGCACTTTTCCTCCTCCTCTTCCTCCTCCTGCTCCTCCTCATCCGCAAATTCATCCTCCTCCTCCTCCCCTCCTCCCTCGAACGATAACTACTGTCCCCCATTGTACTCCTACGCTTCCATGATCGTCTCAACTTGCCTGGGCGTCGGTTGTGGGTGGGCTGGTGGGGATGCGCGAAACGTCAAACATGTTGGTTGTTCTTAGCGTTCTCGCCTTGTGGGGGTCTCGACGCTCCAAGACAGCCCCAGGGGCCCCCAAGATCGCCCCAAGCCACCCCCCGAGCCCCCCGAGAGGGTCCCCAGACGGCCCAAGAAGCCCTAAACAGGCACCAAGATGGCCCAAAAAGAGCCCCATGTAAGGGAACTCAAACTGACATTGCGCGCCCTCGCCTGACCTTCAACCTGGGCGCGTATGGTGGTGGGCTGAGCCGAAGAAGGTCATTAGTATTTGTTGAAATCAAACATCTAAAAAGAAAACCCGACTTTGAATACGAGCCGGCCTCCATCGAGAACATGATGCGAGAGCCACAGTATGAAAATATCCGGTCCTCCATGCGGGCAACTGTTGGAACTTTAATCTTCGGGGTAATCAGTCAAGTGTGAAGAGGTGTCAGCGAAACGCCCGACCTGGCCTACGGACACGTCTGGTGGTGCGACAGGGAGGATTTATTAATCAGAGAGAGAGAAGGAGGAGCTGGAGATGGTGGACGGGGCAAAGGTGATAAGGAGAGGGATACAAAGAACTTAAGAGAAGAGGCGTGAGTGAGGAATGGGGGGCTGGAGTTGGGGGTGGTATGGGGGAGCGATCGTCTGCGTCGTTGGCGCCCGTGCAGCAATGACGGCGCTGTGTTGTAGCGAGCAGTAAAGCCATCACGACGCTGCGGACGAAGTCGTGATCCAACGAAAACGCCGAGTTGATCAATGCCTTGGTGGGGCCTGGGGGTATCGGATCGATTCAGGGGCATCCTCACCTTCCTCTTCATTCTCCTCCTCCCCCCTTCCTCTCCCCTGCCCTCCCAAACCTCCTACGACTGTGATAGTGATAGCTCTCCCTGGGACAAGTTCTCATCATGAACGGATTTTTGATCGGGTTCGAAAAAGACCTTGAAAAGACCAACATCTGCGAACCACAACAATCCAATGCCTTGTTATGTTTAACACGGGCCCCCCCGAAACACCGTCCCATTCCCGAAGGCCGGTTTTCGACCCGAATCGTTTTTGGGCGGTCTGGGGGCCCGGCGAGTCCGCCAAAAGGCCGAAACGGCGAAAAACCTTCGCCTTGCTTTTTCCGGTACCTTGGATGTCTGAGGCTGTCTCCTGCGCGATCTTGTCGAGTCGCCAGGGGGGTCGGGGCGCCCACCTGCTCAGTGTCGCTCGTGGTGGTGGCGTCATCCATGCAAATGTTCGCCACGTTCGCCACGCTGCCGGGGGGGTGCCCGGCGTTCCTGTCCTGGTCCCGGTGCCGCTCCTGACGATCCTGGGGGGCGCGAGTCAGGAGGGACAGATACACAGCCACAATGAATCGCTGAGCCCCGTGAAAATACAAGAACACCTGGGAATGGGGGGGGAAGACGAACGTCCAAGAAAAAGAAAGCCGGAATCTTGGAAATTGCGTCTATTCATTTGTGTCTCCCTGGGCCCCTTCAGAGAGGACCCGAGGGGTGCGCGCGGCGCTCCAGGAGTGCAGGTCCATCTCCTGCTGATTTGTCCACCGCTCGTCGTCCTTTCCTCCTCGTCCTCGCGTCGTTCGTCGTCGTTAACCTCTCCTCGCTCATCCTCCTCCTCCTCCTTCTGCTCTTCTTCTCGCCCTCTCCTCCATCTCCTGCTGGTTTGCCCGCCGCTCGTCGTCGTCTCCTCGTCCTCGCGGCAGCGTGAAAACCAACAGATCTGCGAGCAGGCCTCACCATCCGCCATCGCGCGCTTGCAGCGGTTGGTGTGCGTCGGGCCCTTTCGTTTTTGTGCGAAACAATAATGAAGGCCCCCCGACGCATCAAGTCCAAGACGCGTTCACTTGTGTGGCCAAGTCCCTCCGCTTTTGGCCTGCCAAGCATGACATGGTTCCCTGCCAACCAAAAGCACACACACATGGCCCGCCTGGGCGCGGTGAAGGAATCGTGCGGCAGCGCAATTCGATCAAAAGGGCCGCACGCGCTCCTCGAGCAGCCTCGGGGGAGATGGATGCCGCCTCATCCATCCTGTCTCGTGTCTCCTCCTCTCTCCTACTGTTGCCTCGTCCTGTCTCCGTTGCCTCCTCCTCCTCATCCCGCCTCGCCCCCCCCCCCCACCCCACCCCACACCGCAGGGGGGCAGGCGAGGCTGGGCAAGGACGGGCTTGCGGCAAGCGCGGAGGCCAGGAACCCTCTCCTTGCCCTGGACGCGGCTCGTGTCGCACGCGATGTGCACGAAGTTGCCCATGGCCTCGGCGGCGTCACTGGCGCAGCGGGGCGGGCGCACTCGAGAGAGGCACCAAGCAACAGGGACGCAGCGGGGGCACAAGGCACCGTGCCGTCGTCCCACCACAAGAGACCATGAACCAGGAACGGGGGTTGGCTTTCTTTTTTCCGGCCACGGTGAGCCTCTGCCGCAAATAAGTCCCAGGTCTCCGACCCGGATCCCAGGAGCGGCCCCAAACCAGAGGCCCTCCTGAACCCGATGTGATTCGCATGTCAGCAGCTTGACTGTAGAACCACACGCGGGCGCTTCGCGCACGCTTGGGTTCTGATGCAGGTCGGGGCAGCGCCTCGACAACGGACCGCCAGCGATGAGGTTTCAGAGCAATCTCGTGGCGTCGTTCAAGTGGACGCGCAGCGCCGTTTCTGTACCCTCTTCCACCAAGTGCACTCCCCTGAAATAAAAAATCACGGCCCGAGCCTTGGACCCCACCTTTTCTGCGCAATTGTGCGAGGTGGATCGATATGTGAGGGTCCTGGGGCCCGAAACTGGGCGAAAACGCCCAGCTCGGGAAAATTGAGGCGCCAGGATCTCCGACTCAGGAGGGCAAAGCAATATCAGTCTGCGTCGAATCGGCAAATCGGATCGAATCGACATGTGGTTCGGATCGGGCTGCACCGGCACGGAGTCGAAATCGTATCGGATCGGCTGCGCCATGATGCACAAAAACGCCGTGCAAACGTTGGGCCACATCGGATCGTCAAGAGGCAGAAAAAATGCAAGGAATTTCGCACAAAGGGTTTTGACACCACCAGCGGCGCAACGCATGTGCACCCATGCCACTGGATCCCCAGCGATCTGAACCAGGGTTGATGCACGGCCGTGCTGTAAGATGCAGTTGAATGGTATGGTGTGGCAGCGCTGTCGGCGGCGACAAGATCCCAAGCTCAACGACCAATAGACATGACATGTGGTTTGGCACACAGTCAAAACACCATGCAACGTCAGTTTGTTCATCCGTGGACAGCAGCACGCGTCGCGGCAGTAGAACGCAGTAGCGCGCGCGGGCATGCAGGGCTGGCGATGTGGCTGGCCAGCTGCCAGCGCGATTTCGGCAAAAGTGCCAAAATCCACGTCGGATCGTTTTGGGCGCGGTATCTGGCGCACCTGCATCGCACTGCCAGGCGCCGCGGCCCTGCGTTTGTAGCGCTGGGCCCCGCGCGCTCCTCGAGGCGGGAGACAAACTCTTCGCAAAGGAATCGCGCGTGCTCTTGTGAGGCCGGCGAAAACGATCGTACACGAAAGAAATTCCTTTGTGTACCCCCCGCGTCGGCAACGTAATCAGACCGTACACAAAGGAATTGCACGAGACTTCGTGGCACACAAAAGAATTATAGCAACGCCCTTTGGGTTGCGATTGTCGCGCGCGGCGACAGTTCCGAGCTGGAAAGGAAAGGGGGGCGGGACAAGGCAAAGCAGGGGAAGAGGAAAAATAATAAGAGGGCGAAGAAGAAGCGAGGGAGGCAACGGAAGGAAGCCAGGATGCGCGCAAGCGAAGCTAACGCTGCGCGTCGAGACAGCTGTTCGTTCGTTCGGTTGGCCGTACGGCATATGAACATAAGAACTGTTTGCTGCCCATCGAAGGGACATGTTGGGAAGGAGACTCGCGCTCTTTTCCCAACCCCCTTTCCCACGCCCCGTTGCGAGCGCGCGACGGTGTGTTCTGGCACGCGGGCAGAGGACTGCCAGTTGCTGGTAAGCAGCATTTCCACCCGTCCCGCGTTCCAAACAAATGCGGCCAGCTAAACGCACTTGCCACGCAAACCGCCAGCTCCAAACGCCGACGCCACCCCGATCCCCGCATCCGTGCCAGGCATCCTCTCAACGACGCCCCCTTCTGGCGAAAAACCAATACAACCCTTTGTGTTTATGTGTTTTTCCCTGTTCTGAATCGTCGGAATACGGGGATCGAAACGGATGAACCCTGCCGGAATCGATATCGCATCGGATCGATCGGGTCGAAATGGACCCTGCAATGGGGGGCGACGGTGCGAGCTCGACAGGATGCCTTGGGGCGGCATGCCCGTCCAAGGACTCCAATCCGCTGCCTGGAGCCGTGGGCGGGGCCGGGACTCACCGTGCCTCGGGTGCGGTTGTGGGGTGCTTCCGGGCCCCGGATGGTTCGTAAGGGTGTCATGTCAAACCCTGAGATCCAGGCGTTGCATCTTCTGCGTCTTCTCACACAGGGCGTTGTCGCCCAGTTTCGGGCCCCGGGACCATGACAGATCGGTCCAGCTCGAAAAATACAGCAGAAAGATGTGGTCATGGCTCTGGTCGTGTTTTCCGCGATGTCGCAATTTTTTGCGACGTCGAATCTCAAAGAAAGGAAGGACCGCTCGTCGCGAACCAGCCAACACGGGTGCGACTTCGACGGGTTCGGGTGGGTAAACGCCCTCAGCCACTCTGGCTTGCATGACGCAGGCCAATCTTGCGACAACTTCATGATTCAAACCCTAGGGGCACTGGCATGCATGGATGTCGTGGCGGGCCCAAACCGCGCAAGAGAGCTCCGATCATAGCGGCGAAAGCGGCAAGCGGAAATGCAGAGGCTGGCCGCGGCGATGTCGAGAGGCAGAGAAAGGGAGGCACAAAGTCGCGAGAACAAGAGCAACGCAAAACAATAGGCACGCCAGATGCAACACGGGCTGCCAGCAGGCGCCCGACGGAACTTTCTCATGCCCCGACGACCCGGAGGGCTCACAGGAGCCCTTGGGCACCGTGGGACCCCAAAGACGACGAATGTGCCCCAATCTTTCCTATCGAAAGATTTTTGTACCGTCCGTATGTGTCGGAGAACTCCGACATCGACCATTGAGGGTCTAGACCCCTTTCCCCTGGACCGATTTGTCTACCCGGGTCGAAGTTTGACAGTCTGGCGACCAGGTGAGGGCCCCCCAGAGGCTTAAACCAGTGAAAAACCTCCCGTCGCGTTTTATCGACCTCTTCTTGCACAGAGCAGTACAGCCTCGATGAACTTGCTAGGGTCGCTCCTCATGAGCACCTTCGAGTAGGGCACCGGCTGCCTGATAGCGAACTCGCGCACCTGCGCGCCGCCAACGCCCCCCACGGCCCGCGGCTGGCGCTGCAGCTGTGACCCACAGAGAACGCGACATGCGGCAGGGGGTAAAGCCACCGGAGGAAGGGCAGAAGGTAAAGGAAGATGGGGGCATGGAAGGGCCTTGAAATTTGGGCGTTGCAAGTCTTTCGCACTGGGCGTGTTCGCCCAGTTTCGGGCCCCAGGACCCTCACAGATCGATCTGGCCCGAAAAGTGTAGCAGCTTGGGTCATGGGCTCGGGTCGTGATTTTCACGTTGTTGCATTTTTTCGCGACGTTAGAACTCAGGCATCCTTTTGCTTCCAAAATATAGGGCGGGGGGTATCTGATCTCCCGGGACAGTGGCCTCTGCAGGCCAAGCCAAGACCAATCACATTCAAGCAATTTCGACACTCGAGCCCCGCGGCTGGGCCCAGGCAGACAGACGCGAACCTCGATCTTCGAAATTCGATCAACTATACCCTCCGACGCTTTTGTCCCCGAGCGTCGGTCATCGATCCCCTCGATTCATCGATCCCCTCGATTCTCGTGATTTTCGAAATGTTTCCAAGTTTTCCTCGTGACGTCGGCTCTCAGGGGATGGAGGGAGGAGGCCCGACGGTCACGCGACGGCTCAAAGAGGCCACCAAGTTCGTACCAAAGACCCATGCCAAGCCCTCATCTCATCTTCTGTATCATCGGTAAACGCTGTGCCTAGCGAGGCATTCGCGAAGCCCCCGCGAAATCGACGCCAACAGACGCAATTTTGTGGTACCAAATCCGCAGTTCCCGCTCCGCCGGTCGGGGAGATGGAGGAGGATGGGGGGAGGATGGGTGAGGGTGTGAATGGGGTTGAAGTACAAGGGCACAGAACCCCTGATCCGTTGGTAGAGGGAAGGAGGGATAGATGGATGTCTTTCCCTCCTGCACGATCAAAGGTCTGATCGATCTGCCCCAATACCTGAGCCCAAACGGCCGGGCGCAGGAGAGGTGAGGATAAGGAGTATATATGAGGGTATTACACGGGTTCTATTCACACACCCCGTCCCGAATCCCGCCCGTGAGGGTAGGACTCGGGAACATAGGAAAAGATCCCGTCACCCTTTTACTCCTCTAATCCTCAATTTGCCAGGCAGCTGAGCGTAAGATCTGTATAGCTTCAGCTGCAAGGTAAGGTAAGAAGGAACACCCAGGGCCCCAATTTCTTCTCCAAGCACGCTTTGGTGCCCCCTCGGTGCGCCCCCCAAAAACGCTTCGGCACTCGAGGGCGGAGAAGGATGAGACGCGGGTGGGAGGAGAAAGAGGATCTGAGCCAGTTAATGCAACATCAGAATCTGCCGCGCCTAAGCGGGGCAGGTGTTGCCACCGGCTCTCTGTCGAGAGCTGGGCATCAGACCATTCTCAACGCAATGTAAGCAAAGTCTAAAGAGTAAACGATAAAACATGCATTCTAGGTTCGCGTTGATGAACGCGATCGCGTTTAGAAGCGCGTCTAAAAATCGAAGCAAATGTCTGGCCAGACGCAAAGTCGCGTTGATAAACACGAAAAAATGCATATATATCTATCTATAAAAAAGCTGTATTTGGCAACTCCCGTTGGCGTCGCCCCTTAGGAGGCTGCCTCGGGCATCGCAAGGATATGTGCGTGGCCACTTTTCTGGAATAGTGAAGTGGCCTAAGATAATATAATAGCCACCGCTCGAGGCGAACTTGTGTAATTATAAAGTTCTAGCCTTTCGAGCGGTGGGCCTGGCGGCCAACTCTACTACGCGTTGCCCCTCTCGTAGAACCTGCGGCCCCACATCCTGTCGCCATCGTGCGACACGTAGCTCGTCGCGAAGGTCTCCCAAGGCGTCCTCGGGATCCAGTGGCGGAACCAATCGTTGTACTGGATTTCGCGTACGAATACGAACTCGTCGTTGTTGTCCGTGATGTATGTCCAGCATTTGATGTAGTAGCTCCAATATATGGTGCCCCACTGGCTGCCCTCTAGGTCGTCGCGCCACCATGTAGCGTAGTCCTCCGTCGTGCGCGCCCTCTTGGCGCGAGGGGGTGTCGCAGGTCTGCGGCTGTCGTCGCTGCCCTGCCGCTGCGCTGCAGTGCCGCGCGGCCCCGCGGGCATGTAGTCCTGCGTGCCAGAGGCGCTGGACCCTGCAGCGTCGCCAGGAGCAGGGCGCGGCGGCGGCGGCGGGCGCCGCGGCTGGCATGGCTCCATGGCATCATCAGAGTATTGGGAGTTGAGTGTGCATCAGGTTCGATCGGATCGGTTCTCACCCCTGAATCAACCCCCCTCTGGTCAGTGGAACCCAAGGCGGGTTCAACAGAAGCAAGCACGGCAAGCTTGCGCTGCGTGACTCTCTCACGGGCGCCATCCCCTCTGGGAAGGGCAACCGTGGCAAGTCCGCGCGCCTGCCGCGTGCTTCGGTCGAGTCTGCCTGCGTTCAGCCACCACTTCTTCCGACCAGCTTGGCCAGTCCTGATGCTGGTCTCGAGGATTTCACAGGCGCCGCGCAAATCCCCAATGGTATAAGCATTCTTGCCTTTATTGACGCGAGCGCCTGTCATCTGGTGGTGGAACTTCAAATCATTGAGAAAGCGCTGAACGAGGTTGGCAAAGGGATGGTATAGAGGTCTGTCGTCCTCACGCTAGCCCTTCAATCTGCACATGTGTGCAGGAGGGGAGCCAGCAGCGACCCACTTCTCATGCCTCTTCCTAGCAGCATTTGCCAATCTCCCCAGCACGTATTTCTCATGCCCTGGAATGGAGCGCTTGCCCATCATTATGACCCGCGCTCCGTCTCTCATGTACCTCGTGATGTCGTCCTGGGAGAGCGTCGTCTTGATCCAGTGGGTCAGCTTCTGGAGGTATGCCAGGTCGCTCTCGACAGCGGTACTTTTACCCGTAGCACCTACGGCAACAGTGTACTGCCAGCAGATGTCACAAACGGTACCTTCATCTGTAACGATCCCTAGAGACAAGAGGCGACCGCAATTCCGACATCGCGCGATATCATGCTGGATATCTTCTGGGGCTCCGTCAATCGTGAGGTGCTCACGGGATCCCCAGCGAGTGTCCCGACCACGAGCAAGACTGCGGCCGATCTGATCCATGGCATCGCGGTTGATCTCGGCGGTCGGACGGGAAGCGATCGATCGGCTCATTCCCTCGATCTCGATCCTAGACAATCTTTCCCCTGGCAGTCCTGCGCGCTCAGTCGTGTCGTTGTCCGCGTTGTCAGTATCACCGTGGCATACGTTTTCTGTACGGATACGGTTAGCCTCTTCCTGCAAGGCGGACTCGTTGTCGCCCTCCTCGCGGTCGATTCCCCTCTGCTGGGCTATGAGCCGTACCATGGTTTCCTGATCTGGAACTGCGGATGCAACGCTGCCTGGGTCCTGGGGAATGCCCTGCTCCACGCCTGGGCCCTCATGTGGCGCGGCAGGTGTTTCCACCAGCTCCCTCCATGCGGGGAAGCCTGGGTTGCCGAATGTCTGGGTACAATGTGTAAATAGATCACGTAACGTCTTGAGTGCAGGATGGTTCTGATGAATCGCATCTTTTGTGAAACCACGAAGCTCCGCAATGCTGTCCAGCAGTATGATTTGATACACTTTAGAAACCCATTGGAAGACGCCTGTAGTTGATTCCTCGATGACCCCTGGGTCCAGGTAGTGTACCAACTTTTTGAAGAAGCTATCTGCACTGCAAATCGGTAAGTCACGTGCCCATTTGCGGGTACGATTGTAATCCAAATAGTATGTCTCTGCGTTCCATGTTTTGGATCCAGCTTGAATCTCAAATCGTAAGTCCCTGCCAGTATGCACCTCAATGGTTTGTTTCACCTTTATCATCGGTGAGTCCACCAACAAACCCCACGTCCAGCGGTATATGCGGTGGTCGTAGGATTGCGTGATCCACTTTGAAACGTCGTCTGGGTCGTAGTCGGGATGGTTGAGGAAGTCCTCTGGCGGGTCGATGATATTGTCGAGGATGCTCGCGTCGACGTCCTCATCTGCTTGGATCTCTGCTGATAAATCTGCTCTCATGTTGTCATTTGCTGCTTTTTCCTCAGCAGTGAGTGGGATGTTTGATATATCCACGACGACGGTAACCAGGGGGTCAGCGGATTGGCCTGCCTTTTGTTGGGGCCCATCGTCTGCGGTAGCAGTATCCTCGGCAGGTGTGGCCACCAGCTCATCGGGATCGGGTGTCCGAGGAGCGGGTCGTCTGGTCGGCGTACGTGGGATACGTGGCTTATAAATGCTCGGCATTCCAAGATATGGTAGATCACCATCTGGTTTATGCTGATGTATTTTGTCGCGGCATGAGGATGGTCCTTCCAGCGCAGTATTCATATCTCGGGTCGATGTCGGTACGCACTGGCAAAGCGAAGACAACACCCTTGAGAAGCATGTTTCTGTCGTTGTACCATATGTTTGCCCATCGTAAACCGTAGTTGAGGATAGGTATTTGTGCCGCAAAGAACTTGTCAAATACTCCGAAATGAATGATTGGGCCGTATATGTGGCCCTTGTTCATGAGCACCTTGGTGTTGTGATTGCCCTTGGGGTAGTGATTGTCATAATGATAACAATTGGTAGACCCCCAATCCTTAGTGACAATGAAGTCCCCCATGCGAACGTAATTAAATATAGGCCGACGATCCCAATCTTTCTGCGTGATCTTTGATGTGATGGGTCGAAGAGCCTCTCGGCAGTATGACATAGCTATCAACCATTCTTTATCTTCTGCATTGTGCTCGCAATTGTCGATCATAGCGCGGACCATTTGTTCATCCAGAGCGTCGGCGTCAGACATGCGGCCAGCAGGGGTTGCCCCCAGCTGAGGGGCAATCGGTCGCTGAGCCGAAGATGCTGATGCGGACGGCGTCCTTGGCTGCTGATCCATGTCGCGATCCGCGTTAGCTGGTGTAATCCCAGGAGGGTTATCGATGAACTCCTGCCCAGGAAGAACGGCACACATGTCGTATTTGCTCAATGGTTGTCTC